TGAGATGAACTGAAGCACGATGTATGCGATATTAAAACAATACGGTAGTTAATATTAAATCATTTCATTTCGTACAATTAAATTTTAGCAAACTTTGGTTTCTACAATCATTTTTATAATTGACTTTTCCGGTTACTTTATATTTTACAAAGCATTTGTTATTTAAGTAATGCTTTATTTCATATTGAACAAACATGATTTATTGCATTTTATATTTAAAATAAATAATGGATTTCAAAAACTTCTCTGACAATTCCTCGGCCATTGGAAATAATGACTTGTTAGTCATTGAAAATAAACGCACGTAACAAGCTTAATGAAAACAGGCCGTTGACAATAAATACAAGTAACGTGCATAATGATAACAGACCGTTGATAATAAATGCAAGTAACGAGCTTATTGATAACAGACCGTTGATAATAAATGCAAGTAACGAGCTTATTGATAACAGACCGTTGATAATAAATACATGTAACGAGCTTAATGATAATAGGCCTTTGACTATAAATGCAAGTAACACACTTAATGATAGCAGGTTGTTAACAACAAATGCAAGCTATAAGCTCAATGGTCCGATTTCAGGATTCGATATCCCTAGTTTGAAATGAACCCACGCCTCAACCACGCACGTAAAAAGAGCAAATAATTATAATTCATCGCAAAGTGAAACGACGAAACTGAAACAGGAGGTGTACGATATTAAAGCGATACTAATATAGTAAATCATTTTATTTTGTTAAATTTTAGCGTACTTTGATTTCTACAATCGTTTTTATAACTGGCTTTTCCAATTACTTTATAGTTTATTGTAAAAAATTTATATATTTTACAAAGTATTTTTTTTTTTTACTTTTTGCATTAAATACACAAAAAATCATGCTTGAAAACATGCTTTACTTCTAAACAATATTTTAATATTTAACAGGTCATTGAATATAAAGGCAAGTAACAAGTTTAATGATAACAGGCCGTTGCCAATAAATGTAAGTAACGAGCTTAACGGTAACAAATCGTTGATAATAAATGAAAAACCAGTTTAATGATAACCGGCGGTTGACTACAATCATACTTTATAACATTTAATAATATATTTTCAAAAAAGTATCTAATAATGTGGGAAGAACAAAAAAAATCAAAACTAAATTATTTACGTGCAAAATCAACCATTTTTTAAATCATATTCGGACAAAATTGAATCGATTAACCTGGTTGATGAAAAGTTCTTGATCAAGCTTTTCAAATTGATAGTTGAAAAACCCACTGGAGGTTCAGGAACAGCTCGTAAGTTACTGAAATCGAGCTTGAGATTTAAAGGTGAATATCGACAAAATTATCCATTTCAATTCTGCTAATTCTTCTGGTGATAATTTAAGTTGGAAAAAAAATAATTTACGTTTTGAATACTCTTAATATTTTAAAGGACACTTCGTTGTTCCTGCCTTAATGATATCAAGTTATAGATTGCAAATGCAAGTAAGACGCTTAAGGATAACAGACCGTTGACTATAAATGCAAATAACAAGCTTTAACAGACTGTTTACTATAAAATCAAAAAACAAGCTTTAACAGATTGTTTACTATAAATTCAAAAAACAAGCTTTAACAGGCTGTTGACTATCAATAAAACTAACGAGCTTAATGATAACAGACCATTGACTATAAATACAAATAACGAGCTAAATGTTAACAGACTGCCGATAATAAATTCAAGTAATTAGCTTAATCGTAACAGACCGTCGATAATATATACAAGCATCGAGTTTGATGATAACAGCCATTGATTATAAATGTAAGTAATTTTAACAGGCTTTTGTAACAAGTAACAAGCTTAATGATAACAGACTGTTGATAATAAATGCAAGTAATAAGCTTAATAATAATAGACCATCGATTATAAATGCAAGTAGCGAGCTTAATGATAACAAGCTGTTAACAATAAATGCCAGTAAGGCTCAATGGTCCGATTTTCAAAACTTGATATCCCTCGTTTGAAATGAACTTACGCCCCACTACAAATATGCATGTATAAATATTTCAGTAAAATAAGCAAATAATTACAATTCATTATAAATGCTGAATTTCCATTTTAGATATAATATAATTAATAGAAACTTATCAATACTTGAGAGTTTTATTAATTGCTTTTTATCTACATGTGTTTCATACTAAAAATTACTAACTAATTAATTTGGGAAAAATTTAATTGCCGTAATAACTATTCTCTCAATTTCAATTTGAAGTCGAACTCAATAAATCTATGAAGTTATTGCAGAAAGCAAAAATATACTGGTCTTGAAAAACGAAGATTGTTAATTTATCTTGGCTTAATTTGGAAAAAATATGTTTGTTGTTGTTTGTTGTTTCTTATCCCACTTGGTTGGCCGAGCCCATACGTATTCATGATTGAAGGGGAAAGAAGTAGCTTCTGTTGTGATGGAGCACCCGTAGGTAGAAGTCTGAGTTTGGCTCCGTGACGCTCTTACAGTCATGAATCATGAAGTGGTATATGGGGATGGAAGCAACAAGGCTATAATCCCCTAATCACTATATATGTTATATGAATAGTTCGTTTTTCCTTATTTTTAATATGTCACTCTCCACAACTCTCTACGATCGTGTTAGACCGGGACCTACGGTTTAAAGTGGATTCCGAACCACTACAAACATCCATGGCACCGTCGGGACTCGAACCCGAAACCTGTGGTACCGAGCGCCAGAGCGCTAGCCACTCGGCCATTCAGGCCCACTCTTACAGTCATAGGAGACCGGGACTTACGGCTTAAAGTGGATTCCGAACCACTGCAAACATCCGTGGCAACGTCGGGATTCGAACCCGAAACCTGTGGCACCGAGCGCCTGAGCGCTAGACACTCCGCCATTCAGGTCCCAAATTTGTGAATGGCAACGGCACGCGGTGTTCCCAGGTGGTCACCCACCCAAGTTCTGACCGCGCCCAATGATGCTTGACCTCTGTGATCTAACGATGAGAACCGGTATATTCAGCATGATACGGCCGTTGGCTGGTAAAAATATAGTCATCATATATATTAAGCCAAAGAAATAAATAATTATTACAGCTTCTTATAAACGTTGAGAGGTATTGCATTTTTATGAGTAGACATCACACGTCTTATTATCATTTAGTATCTTATCATCAAAATCATAAAACATCGGGTATAATACATTTTAAAATTTTATTTTGAAAAAATGTTATAATTTGTATGAAAAGCTTACACTGCTGTACGATTTAAATTTTCTATTGCACTGAAAGGTGACAAAACCATTAACTCTTAAAATTCATAAATAATACAAAATTGCACTGCTATCCATGTAGGATTTGTTTGCCTGCTAAGCACCAGATGGAAACACATCACGGACTATGTGCCTTTCACCCCAACCTTTTGCCATGTAGTAGCAGTATTGGACCTTGAACTCTGGCCCTGGAAGAGAAGGAAAACCCGTAGTTGGGCGCGAAAAGGAGAAAGCTAACTGA